TTGTGGAGCGGATTTTGTGCGGGTACAGCGACTAAAACAAAGCTACGGAGCAGACTGGACATCAGGAGCACACTTCGTCTGTCATTGTCTCCGATTATGCCTAGATGGGACCGGCTTATTTCGGAGAAACAAGCTCAGGGCTCCCAATAATTCAACATAACGGTGAGTTTTATTTTTAAGATGTTTGTATTTGATCTTTTATTTGATCGTATTTACCCCCCCACACTTTAAAGGCCGGTCCGTGAAAATATTGTCTGACATACATCCAGTCCGCGGTGGAAAAAAGGTTAAGGACCGCTGCCGTAGATCACTTCTAGGAGGCCAGTAACTGCGCTAGCGTGGCGTATAAACGGTCTTAAGGAACCGAGCTCAGCTCTCTGGATTGTATTTTTTTTTTTCAATTTTCCATTCACAAAACTTTTCCCTTAAACAATGATTCCCTCCATAATTTTAGCTGCTCTGATTGGTGTTCAGGGTCTGGGACGAAGCAGCCGTTACCGTAGTTCAGGGCCTCTGGCGCGGTCCATTTGATGGGGATCTGTTTGAGTCCAGAGGAGGAATAAACTCCGTCGTCCTCCTGCCGACTCATCCCAAAGTCGCTGATCTTCAACACGTTGCTTTCTCCAACCAGACAGTTCCTGGCTGCCAGGTCCCTGCGGAGAACAGGTTTACGCTCGCGTTCAGCTGGAACAACAGGAGGAGGCTCACCTGTTAGCAGCGGAGCTACCTGTGGATGCAGTTTTTGCTCTCCAGGTAAGCCATCCCCGCTGCAGCGTCCACCGCAAAGCGAACCAGCTGCTTCGCCTTCAGCTCCTCCTTCTTCTTCCTCAGGAAGGACAGGAAGTCTCCCCCTGGGAGGTTAAATCAGATAAACTGTTAGGGGACTGACCAATGAGAGCCCAGCAGGGAGGGAGTGACCAAAAGCTCCACCCACCAGAAACCAGCTCCATGACGATGTAGATGGGCTGCCTCTGAGTGCAAACACCGATCAGCTTCACAATGTTGGGGTGGTCGTACTGCTTCAGGATCCTGCAACCAATCGGATATAAAAGTGTCTAAAAACGGTTTTTCCTTCCAGGTTTTTAATCACGGACATGTTTCAGTCACCTGGCCTCAGACAGGAAGCGGATCTTCAGCTCTGGAGGTAAATCTTCTTTGCACGTTTTGACAGCAACGGGCATTTTGTCCCGCAGCAGCGTTCCTTTGAAGACCTCTCCGAAGTTCCCCTGGCGGACGACAAAGAGGCGTTCAAGGACCGGGGGATTGTAAAGAAAGAGGGTGCAAACAGGAAGTGAGGTCACCTTTCCCAGCAACTCCCCCAGAACCACGTCTTCATGGTTCAGGATCCACTTCTTATCCTGTAGAAAAAGAAAAACAGCAGACTTTTCACGCTGCGCTTCATTCTGATCTCTCCTTTATTGGGAGAGCTTTCGTCATGGAGGCAGCTGGAAAGATGAAGCTCTGCTCAAAATGTAGGTTCTATTCTATTCAGTTTATTTCTATAGCTCCAATTTACATCATGTCATCTCAGGTCACTTTCCAGTTCACCAGATCATCCAGTCAGATTGATTCAAAGTTTTCTATCTAAGGAAAACCAGCTGATTGCATCGACTCATTGACTCTTCAGCAATCCCTCACACTAAGCATGCTTGTAGCGACAGTGGAGAGGAAAAACTCCCTTTGAACAGGAAGAAACCTCCAGCAGAACCAGGCTCAGTGTGAGCGGCCATCTGCTGAGGCCCACTGGGGTTCAAGGAGACAGAAGCAGACATAGAAAAAGAAGCATAGATACAAAAGACCAGGAAACACGCAGCGAGGCAGAGAAGCTTGGAGACAGCTCCCACGGTTAGAGAAACAGGACTACACTGAAAAATAGGCTGATCTCCCAGACCACCTGAGGGCCCCACAGACGGTGGATTGTTTTAAGAATTTCCTTTTTAGAAATGCCTACAATTGCTGATTTTTAGATTTTTTTATAGGCTACGTTTGCCTTCGAATGTATTGATTTTAATGATTGTCTTTTTACTCTGTTTTATATTTTATTGTCTTTTAACCTTGTTTTAATTTTCCCTTTTTTTTTTTAAATGTAGCACTTTGAGATTTGAATTCAAATGTAAATTATTATTATTATTATTATCTCCAACATCTATATAAAAAGGTGCTTCTGGGACGGATCAGGTAGTGACAAGCGACAGGAGAGCGCCTCCTACTGGTCAGGAGGGGTTAAACTTGGAGCTTTATCCTTTACACTTAGTAGTGCTGCAACTAACCATAATTGTTGCTAATCGATCGATTGATTATTTTAAAAAAAATCAGAGAGCCTAAGTTTCTTAAAGAAGACTTTTTGTGAAATTAAACCCAGTGAAAATAAAAGTTTTCCACTTGAGCAGCTCTGGATTGAACACACTGACAGATGAAAAAGATTTTTCATCTTAAGCAGGGCGTACATTGTACGACTTTTTGCCCTTTTCGGGCCGACTTTCAGCCTGATGGTGGGTGGCGTAGCTGTACAGGGGGTAACGAGGCGATCAGCCGCTAACGACCGCCTCCCCATCAGGAATCATAAGGTCGGGAGAAAATCAAACATGTTTGATTTTCAGTCGGCCGTCGTGAGGTGGTCGTGGGCAAATCTCTCAGTGCGCAACCAAGGATTCTTCGTCTTCTTCTCAGAGGAAAACCCAGAAGCATGGCGGGGGTGCAATGAGTCAAATGGAGTTGTTTCTATAAAATTGACAGACCATAGTAGCCATATTTCCTCAGCCATGACTTTGTCCAAATACGTCGTCGCCTTTTCTTTTTCAGGCTTTCACACAAAATTGCTCAAACCCCCAAGGCAGCACGTTTCACTCTAGTGAGCTTCATGTTCCTCTTCTACTCGTTTGGCTTCTGGATAGACGAGTCCGAGTAGCGCCATCTCACTGCAGAGCTGAGTCCCACCTGGTTTTTAGACGTACAGTGAGCAGGTAGATCGCATCAGAGCGTCGGGTCGCAGTGTGAGAACAAACATGGCGAGCTGTGACCTCACACTGAGCTGTAGCTGCGTGCAATGATTAGCTTTAACAACTGGGGTATAATTCCTGCTCTAAGTGGATCGCTCTACCAGCTAAAGACACATTTTAGAGTCTCTATACTTCAGTTAATAATTAAATGATTAATAAATTACTTGACTATTATTTTAATAATTAATTAATCCGATTCTTTCAACCTTAAAATTTAGATTTTGAAATTGAGGATAGTAAGGACTTGTGAAGGACACTGCAAAAAATCTAAATCTAGATAAGTCATTTTTTCTTAAAATAAGTTAATTTGTTCTTGAATTGAGGAGATAAAAGAGACACCTTGCCAATGGAACAAGACAATTTAGATTTAAGATAAGAAAAGACAATTGCATTGTCTTATTTCAAGAGAATATTTTCTAATTATCTTATTTTAAGAGTAAAAATACCAATTCTATTGGCAAACTATCTCATTTACCTTCTCAAATTAAGAGTAAATACACTTAATTTAAGACATTTTTACTTATTTCTAGATCGTTTTTCCAGTGACGCTAAACTGCTAACGGAGCTTCTCAGCTTCTCACCCAGAGAGCTAAACCTCCTCCTGGCAAATCACATCCTGATCTTAGATATAAACCTCCTGATCAAAGGCAAAAACATTTCATTTATTAATAACGTGTTTGTAAGGTGGTTACCTTGACGACAGGGTTCAGCAGAATAACTCCAGACTTCTTAGTGATGACTTGTTTGGTAGAGAAGTGATGCTCGATGAGCTGAGGAATAGTGGGGAAGCCCGTCCCTTCAAACCGGTACTGACTCTACCGGAGAGAGAGACAGAAAAAGGGGCGGAGCTAGGGTGGGTTTCTGACCTGTGACCTCAGGTGTGTCTGTGCTGCTTCAGGTGTCAGCGTGAGGATACGTACGTCGGCGTACTGGATGATGAAGTGTCGCCGCTGGTCGTCGGAGAACACCGACAGGACGTACTCGCCCGGCTTGCCGTGACTCTCCCTCACCAGGAAGTCTCCCTGTTGCCGTAGCAACTCCTGAGCCTCTGTGCGGGGGATGGCTCCGTGGTACCACTCCTGCTCTGCGAGCGGCCGCTCCGATGTGGGAATCACGTCGAAGAACTGCTGCTCAAAGGAAGACAACAAAACGCACGCTGTAGGCAGAGTCAACGGAAACATGGAGGATAAAACCGGACAGGAAGGAGGAAATACAGAAAACAACTCATTAGGGTTAGAACTGCTCTGGAATCCTGGTCTCTCTGGAGCATCAAGGGAAGGACGAATGCGTCACGCTGCCTCTGATCAGACTCACGTAGGAGGAATGTCAAGGCAGTACGACAACACAAACTCACCGAAGTGGAGGAGCCCAGCATGGATTTAGGAGATCGGATCATCCCAGCCAACGAGTGGCGCAGCGTGTCGAAGCGAGAGCTCTTCTCCTTCACCTTGTCCTGAAATAAAGAACGCTCTGATTACTGAAAACCTGTTGAGGAAAAGCTGCTTCAGAAACGGCTTCATTTACCGTGGAGGAGACGGAACGAGTGTCGTCCTCATACTGCAGCGCGGGCAGCGCCGGCGGGGGTGGAGAAGCCACTGCGGCCGCCATTTTGGCATCCAGCAATGCTTTCTGGGAAAGCAGGGAAGCCTCTGAGCTGCGCAGTGATTGGACCGTGTGACGGAGCTCCAGGAGGGACAGTTTCTGACTCAGCAGCAGGACACAGCTGGGGAGGGCGAGACACACAGAGAGAGAGAGGACCAATGAGGAGACAGGAGACGGTGGGAGACGGATGGCTGCTGGTCCCGCCTCCTCAGACTCACTCGCTCTTCCTCTCTGCGCTCTGCTGACTCGTCTGGATCCTGGCTTCCAGGTCGTTGGCTAATGTCTCCTTTTCTTGTAGGTTCTTCTGCGTCAGCGTCAGCTCCTCCGTCTTTGAGGACAACCTGACAGAACAAAGACGTTTCCTCTGATTAACGATGTAAGAATGGCAGTGTTCACTCAGAAATCCGTCTGATCTGACTATCGTGGGATTCATTTAACAAAGTTCTCTCTCCTTAAAGTTCCAACCGTTTCATTTCCGAATCCTCCTCAGTGGTGCCCGACTTTGACACAATGGCAGCCCACTGCTCCCCGAGGGGACGGGTTAAATGCAGAGCTCATTTCTCCATTGTGAAGATCAATAAAGTTCAATTTTTATATTATAATTATTATTCTAAACTGGCGCCATATAAAGAACCAACTGCATTAAACTGAGGACCACAGGAAGTGCTTTTATTTTGTAGGAGCTCACATGCTCTGTAAGCTGTCTGCCGTCAGCGTGTTCCACAGGATCTCATTGGCTGGGATGTTATCCGTCTCGTCCAATAAAGACGCATCAAATTCCACGCTCGCCTCGGGCGCCACTGGAGACCTGCGGGCGGGAGAAACCGATGGTCACCATGGCAACCAGCCCAAGCCAAATCAAACAACACAAAAAAACCGGCAGCCGCGCTCACCTGTAGGCGTCGATGAAGTGCTGATATTCTGCCAGCGGATCGATTTGCTGAACGGCCGCTGAGATCTCCTGGTGGACTTTAACGATCTCCTCCGTCAGCAGGCTGCTGATCTCATAATACTCCTCCAGAATACTTTTACTGCAGAGCGTAAAAACAAACAAGCGTCACTTTAACTACGGAGCACAGGAAGAGATCATCACCGCACTGATCAGCGTGTTTCAGTAACAACGATCCAGCGCCGCGCTCGGTGGGCGGGTCACGTGACTCACAGTGCCAGCGTCATGTCCTCCTGCATCCTCTGCAGCGCGTCCAGCAGCGCGGGCGCCGCCTGCTGACGGTGTTTGTCCTGCTGCGTCTGGGCGCCGCACACCGCCAACACGTAGTTGTTGTGGAGGTTATGTAGCTTCGCCGTCGCTTTGTCGTAGCGTTCCCGGGCCCGCTCAGCTTCCCGGCCTGTGATTGGACGGAGGGAGAGGGGGGGGTCAGTGGAACAGGAAGTGCAGCTAGCCAAAGGTAGCGGCACGGCTAACACCAACCTTTGGCTAGTGCCTCTCTGTACTTGTCTTTGGCGTTGTTGGCGTCACGGCTCAGCTGACGATAGGAGGTCTTCAGCTTCTCCAGGTCACTTTTGGTTACCTAGCAACAACAAACACTTATAGTACCTGTGGGCGGAGCCCAGACCCCGCCCCTTTCTGTGTTGCTAGGTACCTTGTGGTTGTAGCTCTCCAGCTGCTGATGAAGACTCTGGTAGCTCTTCTTCACCTGCTGCTTGTCCCGGATCAGCGTGGCGAGGCGGTGCAGCGGCCCGGAGTTCAGGTCGTCTGCGTGGCTCCTCATGATTCGACCCAACGCCTCCGTCTGACGAATCACCTGCGACCACGACTGACAGAGCCATCCGGACTTAGTCGGCGGCGGCTGATCGGCCGGCGGCCCGAACGGGCGAGCGGCTTACCTTGCTGACGGTGCTGACGTAGTCCGCGGCTTCCTGCTTCTCCGTTTGCTGAGTCATGCTGAGCAGCAGGGCGGCGTACTCTTTGTCGCTCTTCACCCGCAACGTCATGAAGCGTTTCACCGTCTCCAGCAGCTGAAGGGAAACGCAGATTAGGTCAGAATGAGAGGCGGAGGGTTCAGAGACCCTGCTCCACCCGATGGAGACATTAGCTGCATTTCTACCACCCATTTCAATCAGATATAAGAGTTGAGTGTAAAATCTGGTTTATGCTCAGAAACCAGGTCATCTGCGTGTCGCAGTGAACACAAATATGCCCCGCCCCTTCCGCAGACATACTGCTGCACCTCTCCAAACTTATAGGTGACCGCAGACAGGAGGCCTCTGATTGGTCAACTCTACATCTGCTCTACGCTATGTGTATTTCCTGTTTGGTTCTTCACCGGCTTGTTTTGTTTGTCTGACCGCCATTGTGGAAAACGTCTCGTCAAGATTGACCAGCTAGAAGAGGTGCGCGAGAACGCTGGGACCCTTTTTCCACCTGGATCTCCGCTCTTTTTGGTCATCATGTCCCTCCGTTGTCGCACAAACTTACCCCCACTTCCTCACCACCGTTTCTAGACCCACAGCTAGTTCCTGATTGGCCCTCTTGCGTTGTGGCGTGGAATAACAGAGCGCAGACCACGCTTCAATATTGGGCATAGATCAAAAATATCTGTGACAAGCTCACTGCGACGCACTGCTGCGAGGGGTATAACCAGCCCTTAAATGGCACGCACAACTGAACCAGAGCGTGCCAGACACAACTGAAGTGCGCTAACATGGTACTAGCTCATCAGTAGGACTCGGCGCGGTTCAGTTCTGGCTCAGTTCTCAGATAACTTACACCCCATTTCCACTACCCTTGAAAAACCGATCCATACCGAGACCGGTCCGAGCTCGGATCAGTTAACCAGGCCGAGCTCGGTTCTGACGACCGTTTACACATCACGCTATCTCGGTTCCTTGACTCCTCGCCTCCTAGTGACGATCTGCTGTGTTACTGCCAGTATTGAAGGAGGAAATCAAGCAGTTGGTGGCGGTAATGCACCAAAAGTTGTTTGCAAATCCGCCATAAAACACAAGAAGAAGAAGACGAAGAAGGAGGGAATCAAGCAAATCAAAATGGTGGTGCCCGTCACATTCAGAAAGTTATGCTTGATTATTATTGCTGTACTTCGGTGTTGCGTGGAGAAGATTTCAATTGTTGACTATAGTTGAAGAAGAAGTTGTTCTTCTGTTTCCGGAGGGGCATTACCGCCACCTACTGGAATGGAGTGTGAATGGGGATGTGCAGCCAGACCGAGATGACGCGTTCTGCTCATGCGCTCTTGTTATCAGAGAACCGAGCCAGGGAAAAACCGAGCCGAGTCCACCTCTGGAACTGGTCTGCAGTTAGCTCGGTCCGGTTGTGTCTAGCTCGGTTCAGTTCAGTTTGCTTTCCATTTACACACGATAAGTTACTCAGTTACTGAGCTGGGACCGGTTTCGGCACAGTTTTTCAAGGGTAAAAGAACGCATGAGCAGACCGCCTCATCTCCTTACTATCAGCCTCTGTAACCATGAAATTTCAGCCATTCAGAAAAATCCTAGCTTCCCTACCGTGACGCATGATTTCCAGTGATGATTCTGCTTAGCAGTGTGACGAACATCAACGTCAGTCGCCGTTTCCTGCATCTTTAAACCCTGATTAGACGGTCATTTGTCGTATCCACTTCCCAAAAGCCGACTCTGTCAAGTAAATTCACCAAAGGCTGCCCTCTTGGCCTGACTCCCAGCAAACTTCCTGAATGTTACAGGCACCGCCATGTTGGTTTGCTTGTTTAACTATAGAGCAGTAGTACCGTAGATCGCCACTAGGAGGTAAGGAGCCACGCTAGCATGGTGTGTAAATGGTGGTAAGAACCGACTGTGGCATGGATCGGTTTTCAGAGGGTAGTGGAAATGGGGTTAATAACATCAGCAGACAGAGATGAGCATCAAACTCAGTACTTTTATAGGTACTGACTGAATTCTGTTGGTATTACTGAGTATCGACCCAGCTGAGACTGACCACCTTCCATCGCTTTGGAGGAGGGAGGGGCTGACAGCAGCGCTCGCTGCTGGAGACAGGAAACTCAATCAGAGCTAAAGGCTAAAGTCTCCAACAAGTCAGAAAAAGTCAATAACTGTTGTTTTTGAAAAAGAAAAAGGGTCTGAAAAGTCACTGAATAAAGGAAAACAAAGGCTTATTGGTATAGCATCATTCTGTACATGGACAATTCAAAGTGCTTTACATGAAAAATAAGAACAAAATAAAAAATAGAAAGATTTGTAAAGCAACTAAAGAGTTTAATTTCTTTAATCTTTAATCAAACCCAGCAGACAAACAGATTCGCTCCCAGTCCCTCAATAGGTCCAGCATGTCTCCGGTCGGGTTAATTAATAGATCAAATGTGAGACGCGGATCACTTCCTGTCAAGGTTACAGCTGTAATCTCCTGTTATCAGCAGAGATCCTGATATGATGTCTGTGAGGCGTCGCCACTAGAATACTTCAGCTGATTTCTCACCCTGATGGCACGGACACGCATCAGAACTCTGAAGACGCAGAGCCAGACGTCGGATCAGGACCTGAAAACGGATCGTTGCAGCAAAAATCTTCAGAGGAAATAAACCTGGAGTCCTACATTCACCATCTAAAGTCTGAGTCCAACGGAGCGACACGAAGCGACGGTGCGTTCAGGGACAGCAAAGAGGTTGGATCTTCCAGCAGAGAACAAACCGTCCAGCGGTCCATCACCTACCTTCAGCTCCCAGTCCTGCAGCTTCAGTAAACCCTCATGGGAGTTGATGAGATCCCGACCAAAGCCCATCCTGGAAAAAGTGGTTCCGTCTCTAAAAGTGGAGGAAAGAAAGGCCTGAGGGCATGGTCCTGTGGAGACAGAGGGGACAGACGGTTAGCCTGAGGATTCACCGGACCAGAACCACACCAGCCTCCATCAGAGCAGGTGGGTCCAGTCTGCATCGGAGGAACACAGGCCTCTACAGGAACAGATCCAGTAAACGCAGCATCAGAACCAGCAGGAGCCGAATGAAGTGTCATAAGACTCTGGTCTGACCTGAATGTCCTGTCAACAATCGGCTCTGTTCTGCCCGGCGACAGTTTACCATCACAAGAACTTCCTGCTGCACAGCTGCTCCTCTGAGGTGGAAACAGGAGCAGGTCTGAGCCGGGCCAGGCCACGCCTCCAACTCCTCCAGTCAGAGCCAGAGAAGAGCAGCCATCTGTGACTAGAGTCGCTGAATAAGTGCAGACTTTACTCATCTGGACGCTTTCTGATTTAAATCCAAACATTGCAGCGATTGAGTTGATTTCTTCCCTTTATAGGGGAACAGAAGATCTCACCTATTCAGCCAGGCTAACAATTCCCTTTAACAACCCCCTTTCAGAGACATAGACAGGTATGGGGCATCGCAGGCCAACAAAGGAAGCCATACGACCCCCATTCCAAAGGGGTGGACCCGTTTGTCCGTTTCAATTTACATTTTTTCTAAACAAAAAAAAAGGCTTTGTTGGGTTATTCTATAAAACCTGGAACTTAACGTCATTCCTGCCATTTTTAATTTAAAAAGCTTCCTGGATGGAAGAGAAATGAAAACAACACGCTGCTGCCATTTTGCACATCTCTGATGTTGCTGCTATTTTCAAATATCCATTACTGTAAAAATGTCCTGTATGTTGGTTATTGTTTTCTTCGGGTGCAGTTTTATATTATTAAAACACTTTAGAGTACAGTATTTTATTGTTTAACTTTTAACTCTTTTATTATGTTAATCTTATACATTTTTCTAAGGTCCACATTTGTGTGACATTTTTTTGTCTATAATCTTTTTACTGCTGTAACACCAGGATTTCCCCATTGTGGGACAATAAGGAGATTTTTATTCTATTGAATTCATTGATGTAATGTTCTAATCATCCACTAGAGGGAACCGCTGTCGACTCTTAAGCAAGAATTTTGAAAGGCATCTAAACAGCCTCAGTGTTCAGTAAAGATGTGGGTGTTTGGAGGAGAGATGCTGTCAGCTGGATAAAGTTTGGATAGATCCTAAGAATAGATTGGTTGATTTTCCAACCAATCTAGTTGTTTAAAGCTAATTTGGATAGAATAAACAATGTAATGATCAAAATTTGAGCAAACCATCGGACAAAGCCAGTGTTAAC